ACTCAGTTGTTGACTGTTCGGGTGCAGTGGGCTCCCGTTTTGTGATTCCAATTGCCTTGTTGCCAAACGTGACGGGTAGTCTTTAGCCGCCACTACGTATAATCTATAAAATACTCGGGTTGTAAATGACAGCTACACATGAGAGTGTAGTACGAAGATTTATTAAGAGACCAATTGTTCTGCCTGATTACTGCAAGCACGCTCCCCCGAACACCAGCGGAAGCTGCAACTCACGGAGCTACGGGCGTGCAGTGCAATAAGGTGATAACTTTAAATAGGTCATCAAAAGCGAAAATTGATCGCCGGTGGCGTCCGGCGTCTTCTCGCGTCGGCGGCGTGAACATGAGTAATGCAAGAAACCATCAGTACGCGAAAAAAATTGAGCAGATCCCACGTACCTTGGAATCGACGTCAATGCGAAGCGTGCAAAGGGAAGGTGACCGTGTTGCAACTTTTTTTATTGCGCGACACGTTTTTAAATCACGCTAAATATATGTAGAAATGTTGCCCACACAGACATATGTTGAAGAGGTGCAGATACTTATATAACCTGTTGTTTGCACTTGCACAACGATGCTAAATGGAACATGCGTATAAGCAACACCAGAAGCTGATATAAAGTGCTGATGCTCGCGAGGATGCTGGCCTTTGACACTGCTGCATAAATCGACTTCAGCGCATGGCAACTATCCACAATTGACATTAACCCAACGAGACGGCTGTATCAAAAGAGTACATATAGAATGTGTAAACAATTTCGTAGAGAACGCTCTAACCACTATTGACGTTTCACGAAGAATAGCATCTATTTAAAAGTAGTTCCGAGGCCTGGGGTAGCTTTGTGGTAAAATGCTTTATTGCGACACAGAATGCTTGGGTTGGATTCCAGCTGGGACCCTGGCATTTATTCTTTGCATTCGTCTGGTTGACGCTAACAATGTCGGGTATTTCTTAACGCTAACGATTTAAAATTGCCCATATGTTTTCTCGTCGTTCTTGGGTAGATACTAAGTGTCACCTGTGGCACATACCCGCATACCAGCGACACATACCCGCCCCTCGGTGTGTGCCACTGTCTGGCAGGAAGTGTTTGGCGACGTACGCGACGGGTTTGTGACAATAATAATGTCTTGACCATGCAGCGTGTCATATTCGTCATAGCATCTTACCCTCCCATGCTAATTTTGGTTCACGCCAAGTTAAGGAGGCGACCACGAGAACCCCCAAACGTAAGCGGCTAGATAGATAGATACGCTACAAGTCACCGACGTTCGCAAAGAAATGCTTCGCATTTAAAAGTCATTATATGACATCCCATATTATAAATGTTTGTGGCATATCGGAAGGTCACATAACTGGACGACATCATATAACAACTTCGCTTGGGTCAAACGTGCCGATCATGAGGGCAGTGCGTAACCAGCTGTGGGGCAGAAAGCTAGCTTTGTCTCCAATCCTTGAGGCAGTAAGAAAACCTTGTTGAACGCAAAAATATCCCGGAGAGAAGTAAAAAACATTCAAGGCATTGAATCGGTAGAAAACGAGGGTAGTTTTTTGCCTTTCACTCGTTTCGAATTTCCACGGAAATCTCAGTAGAGTTCGTCGAAAATACTTGAAGTTATTATCTACCGATTCCGGAGCCGTGTTACCCCATCAAATTTTTATTTGAAACACGGAGCTGGTCTGACACTCTCCCCTCTTTGTCCGTTTTGCGAAGAATCTGAAACTATTGAACATTATGTTGCCTCATGTCGTAACTACGCAGTAATTAGGAAAATACTTCTGACTATTCCGTTTGCGAAGCTAGGTGTAAGTTTAAACACAGAAGCTGTTCTAAATTTTGGTGCCTCTGTTTTGGGAAATCGCCACAGAAGTGTGTTTGATGCATTGTGCAATTTCATTCATGACACTAAACGTATTTCAGCATAAGGCCCACTTTAACAAATACTCAAACAAAGAAGAGTCGGGAAGTAATTTTTGAAATGTGAATGAAGATGAGACATACATGCCAAATTAATCGGGTGTGGCACACTCAGCCGTCTGGTTGGCTCCCAATATCAAGGTGTAGTTACTATATTAGTGATTACTATATCATTTTTTTCTCACTTTCTCACTCTTTTTTTTTTCGATAATGCATGTGCATCTTTTTCGTTTATTTTTTGTTAGTAATAGTGCAGTTACCGTATATAAGATGTTTTATTGGCCAATCCCCCAGAGTGGGTATGTACCATGGAATCCAGGCTACAAATAAACCAACAAACAAACAAAAACGATCAAGTCGTCTCAGGTGAATCCATAAGGAGACCGAGGCGAGTTTTTTTTTTTTTTGTAAGTAATGAGAAATGAAAAACGTCAATCTGTTTTTTTTTCTTTCGTCAGATATGCAGAGTGGTACACAGCAGTATTATGTACTGAGGCATGCAAATAATGAATATTCAATAGCTTTAAAAAGAAAATGAAACGTGAATGCTACAAAACTTGAACGCTATATCAAACTGGTGGCACGGCCTGACAGTGCCCGGTGAAAACAGCACGCAGCTATGTTCTTGTTACTTTTCATCTTCCTTGCATTTGTGAAGCCGTCAAGAAGCACGACTGTAAATGAACCCGCATGAAGACACGAACTTGCCAGCTTCCTAATACGCTCCGCCGTTCAGCGCCAGCATCCCGAAGTCTACTCGTGCAGCGCCACCACGCAGCGGCGAGCGGCGGTGGAGCGTGCGCTCGACGGCCTGAAGAAAGCATTCGCCCGGGCACTGAAAAGAATAGAAGAGGTGCTGGGCACATACACAAAGCAAATCACTGCGAGATAAGGCCTCCGCTGTGGAATTTCAAACCTACCATTCATTGTTTACCTCTGACAACCTGTTCGACAGCCCGGATTCAGCGAGACATGCACATTGCCCCCCCCCCCCCCCCCGCGCTTTGCTACTTCCCTTTTATTCGCGAAGCACCTGTTCCTTCTTCACTCATACATTTCGTCACAATACGCTCCCCCCTCCCATACCCGCGTTTCCAATGTAGCTCCTCCCCCTTTATTGTTAGGATGGAGGTGGGGGTGCGGGCGTGAACACGTTAACGCTAAAGAAATCATTTCAGTTTATCCTTCCCGAAAACAAATCCACTTGTCTAAACGTCGTCTCGACACAACCCCTGTTTACGGATTTCTTCAGTGTAATACCACAGTAATATTGCGTGGTAGAAACGTCGGGCTTCAGAACAGGTGATTATCACAACTACATCACGATTTAAAGCTAGCCACCTATTACAAGAGGCCCCCACGTTAATGCGCATATAGCGTTAAGACCGCGTAGAGCACGCATAGTAAGTTCCAAAACATTTCACGCGCACAGTCATAGTTTTGAGAATGGCTACATATGCAGCGATAAGCGAAAGCTTCACTGACATTAAGCACTTCAAACTTTATTGATTATATTGTGGTGATCCGCAATTTAAACTTCTCGAGTAACATCATGCAATAAATTAAGTGGCTCGAGTACTCACTTGATATCGCTAGGGCGTTCACCTCTTAAAAGCGAAGCTAAAGGGGTCATGACATCTATTTTTCAACCATAATCTGTGTTGTGTGGGTTGATTCTTGTACGTTCTAGGACAAGCTGGCGAAATGTGAGCTCATTTTGCCTAGCTGATAATTAATAATGGAGTATATTTGTAAATGGGCAAGCGGCCTTAAAGTTGGCCAACACTGGCGTGCTCGCTATAGCCATGACGTCACGAACCGCTTGCTGGGTGAGCTGCTGCACGGTCTGCATTCCGGAGGACAATCGTGTTCTCGTAGCCAGGTGCGCTTGCAATCGAACTTTTTCTGCAGTGTTCAACTTGCCACTGGAACGAAATGACTTTTCCATGGCGTTGAAACAGTGCCACCGCGTCACCCATGTAGCGCTGGTATTTGTAGCGAACAATTTCCGAGATCGAAAATTGTCCTGCGAATGTGCAATGCGTATGCCATTTGCCACTACGGATAATAGTTTAGTGAAAATCCTCGCAGCCAGTGCCATGGTTCAGCGTCACACTTGCTATTGTTTTTTTTTTTTTGCCGGAACCGAATACAATCGACAGAGTTCAAGAAAAATTCGGCAAAAATGTATATCATGAGTAACGCTAGCGCCGCACTGACATGCCGTTCGGTTTGGCTAATGTTTACATATGCTATGCACAACAACCGATCGAAAAACAACGATCCAAACGCACGGCAATGCTACGACCACCTATCATATTACGTTCAGCACCGAAATTCGCGCATGCACATATGCTAGCCAACAAAATTCACATGTTTTGCCAATGCCACGCCACTAAGTAGCACTTCGTCGCGAAGGCAGCGTCGATGGACCCCGGCCGTATCTCAAGCTCGCTTTTCAACCTGACTGTCCTGAAAGGCTTGAAATAAAGCTACTTATCAATGAGAAAAACCGTCTACTACGTCTGCCGCTACGGCGAGGTCGTTGGCGTTTTGTTTCACACTGTCTTCGACGCTTTCTTCGTCGCTTGAGCTGTTGGCGATCGAGTCCAAGTCAAAATGCGCAATCTACACGACATCGTCGCCGAATATGGTGATGGTACCGGTGACACATCGCAACACTTGCAACTGACATGTGTGCACTACGCGGCAAACAACACTCGCAACACTTACTGCCTGCGGATTGTGCTGTTTGGTAGCAGATGACGGCACTGCTCCTTTGGCTTGTGACGCAACGTATACCATGACAAAATGGCGGTCACCGACGATGGGCGGAGTTTACAGCCGATGCTACCTACAGCTTATTATGGACTGAAATAGTATCTTACAGTCCAGTTCCCACACGTGTACAAGCATATTTGACCATTTACCCTTGTTTGTCACCGAAAACCGTCAATTGTTGGATAACCATGTCATGTCCCCTTTAAGGGTATCGAAAATTACTTTTAAAGAGCTAAACGTACTTCAATTTCCTTTGAGCCATCGTAATTAAAATTGCTTCACGGTTTTTCTATCTTAGGTCAGCCTCCTCATGGGATATGGGCCAGTGGCAAACTTATCGGGAGTGCAGTTCCCTTTTCCTCAGATTATTGCAGTTTCTGATCCCATCTTTGTAAGTACAACATATTTTATTTATTTATTTATTTATTTTATTTATTTTATTTACAGAATACTGCGGTCGAAAGACCAAGCAGGGGGGCATAATAAAAAGTGATTCACAATGCAACATAAATAAAAAGAAAGTTCAAGCAATAAAAAACATGTTAAGGCAGTAGAACACGGGATAACATTTGAACAACGTTAAATGGCAGCAAGAAATTGCAAATTGCAACCGGAGAATGCAAATCAAATACAACGTGAGACAGTCCGAGATCTTGAGTTGTACGGGTAAAAACGGAAAGATACATAATTATCGAAGTGAGGATTTTCATTATCACAGAATGCTTCAAAAGGTAGCGCGTTCCAATCATTGATCTTCCGAGGAAAAACGAATATGTATTATTGTATGCATTCATCACAGTGAACTCATTTATTTTATCCCTCGCTAGTTTTTGCGAATAGCTAAAATACTTGTACACAAGCGTCGCACAAACTAATCAGAATTGCAGTTGAACGTATGAAACGAGCATGCTCGTTTCCATGTAGGCCACAGTACCCTGAAAACCCTCGAAGGGTGATGACTCACCGCAGTGCCCTAAAAGACTGGAAGGATTATATATCCCATGATAGGCTGTTTTCGAAAATAAATGATGTGATTGGGCCACGTTTTAAGTAATAAGACTATATGCTACATCTTTAAGCGCAAAATTCATTCCTTTAAACGCTGGCTTACAGTCTCTGAATTTAGTAATTAACAAACTACCTCGCAGATGACCACTATCTCTGCGGTCGTTGATTTCATTTGGTGGTCCTGACGAAAACGTTTACTGACCTTCTAACTTTATACGACGAATGCTCCTGCTGATATGAAGGGTAACACAGATCCGTCAGTAAACACAAGTTTAGAAGCGACATATTCAGTAGATCTCTAAAGCAGGAATAATATATGGCATAGGCAATTTTCTTACCCACTCTAGGAATGGATAGACGCACTTCAGGTCTTGATAAACTTAATTTTGGTACCTGTTTTTCAAATAAGTTTCGGTGAGGTCATATTGACATGCCGTTTTGTATGATTAGCAAATAAATGAACAACACTATTAGAGCATGTGCGCAACTTTTGGCTCGATATCTTCTATGGTTCATGACATTATGTCTGTTCACGGCACAACAGTAAGAAAAACATTCTCTTATCAGCCCAAGGTGACGGCGCCGATTTGTTTTGCGTAACCTCGTCAATGTTGAGTGTTTGAGTGGGCGAATGGTGATCACAACCTTGGAGTGCAGAAAGAGAAGCGTAGCCACGCTCGCAACGGCAATAAGCTGCGAATTATATATGGAAAGTTCAAGCATGCAATAGTCACGTGACTCAAGACATCAAGTGTCAGGGCCTTCGTGTTGCAAGGAAGAAGAATGCGATAGTGACCATTCACGCCTCTTTTTACGCAGCTGCTGCTCGATCCAATAGGTGACAGCGGATACTTTTACCTTCCCGAAGCGCCTAGAGAAATGATGCAGGCAATTTGCGACAACTACAAGGAACAGGTGTGCTCCACTTCTCTGATCGTCACAATGATCAGTAGTCCGCAACAAGTGAACTCGGTGAGTCTGGCCAACCACGTTATCCTCATTTGATCGATAGAAAACAATAAGGCGCGAAGAACACACTACACACAGCGCTGCGCTGAAGCGGAACTCTGCATGATGTATTTCCTTTAAAACATTGCCTGATAGCGGGTGCCATGGAGGAAGGAAACATGGCGGGCGCCACCAGTATCACGTGTTTACACTGAAATAGAGGAAGACATGGGCGACCTGGCACATCTTTCGTCACTGCTGCCGCTCGTCGATAGCGACAGCTCCGACTCAGAAAGCTCAGGCTCCGGCACCAGTGATTTATCGGATAGCCACACTGCAACTGCCACGTAGAAACAGGAATTTGACATAATTCTACTTAAAAACAGAATAATTACGTTCAAATTGTTGTGGGCAACTCAAGCACTTCTGTTCTATCCTTACTTTGGCCTCCTTTGCCAGCACAACTTGTGTTTTAACTGCAGATTTGAAATGGTTGATTTACGCCAGTATCACGAGCTCGCTCGCAGAGTTTATCAGATGCTCCAGCTCTTTCAGTGCAATTCAGCATGGCTTAAACGTTGGCCAATCCTGGAGCCATTTATGAACCACGTAAGGTGCTTGAATGCTTCCGATGCTGAAGACAAAGAGAAGGCAGTGACTATGGTGATAGGGCCCCTCAACGCAGTACTATCGTTAGAGTGAGGGGGCCCGTCAGCGTAATGTAATCGTGCCTACAGGGACGGGGCCCGTGAGCAAAGTACTATCGTTTAATTGAGGGGGCCCGTCAACGTAGTTCAATCGTGATTACTGTCCCCTTAGGGAAATCTTAACAGTGACGGGGCCCTCATAATAACGATTAAGCTATGACGACGGTCCCTGTCACCGTAACGCAATTACTACCGAGAGGGGGCCCGTCCTTGTAGCGTAATGATAAATATGAGAGGGGGATCACCAGAAATTTGTAGTCGTTTTAGATGTCAACGCCCTAACTGTTCTGGTTGCACAGTGGAGTGACGCGCAGTCGGTGATGTGGTTGTGCCACATATACGTCTGTTCGAAGCTCATTTTGTTATTTTTTATATTGTCACGTCTAAAAGCGGTCAGGATGACTGAGTACAAAGAAGTCACGAGCACGAGCAACAACCACCATTGAGATCTGAGAAAGACGGTGTTGAGTCATCCGTGGTTGTGTGCGATCTATAAAAACAGGCCTTGGGTTTTCCTTGCCGCACCGAGGTCTTGTCGCCTATTCTTTCCGCATTCCAACATTAGTGGAGGCACTGGACTTCAATGCCTGATGCTGAACCCTCCTCCACGGAGTGGCACAACCAGTTCGATCCCACAACCCATTCCACCAGTGCACACGCCTCTCTACCACTACAGTCACGAGGCCTTAGCCTCGAAGTAATGCTCTTAGAATCTCCTCAGCCAAGAACTACATCTGGCGAAATGACAACTGCCAGCACTTCGCAGTTCATCGTTGAGCCACCTCGGATTCCAGAGACGTTCCACGGGGAAGCTTATGAAGACGTCAAGGATTGGCTCGAACAATATGAGTGCGTCACCAAATCTAATCACTGGACAATAGACCAGAAGCTCCCATGTTTTTATATTGTGCTGGCATACAGTGCTGGTACGAGAAAAGGGAAGCCACATTGTCTTTTTGGGATGAGTTTCGGAAGCAGCTCATCGAAACCTTTGCAAGTAGCGGTCATCATGGTTTCATTCAGCAGCTGATCGAGTCGTGCATACAGAAGCCTAACGAAAGCGTCACCATGTTCGCGGAGGATATGGCCCACCTGTTCCGTTGAACTGACCCTAAGATGCCTGAAGCTAAAAAACTGTGGCACCCGATGACATGTAGGCGTCAAGGAACTACTGTTTGCAGGTCTTGTTTGCAACCCAACAACGACTGTAGCGGAATTCATCAAAGAGGCCTCAACGATCGAGCGGGCCCTCCAGCAACGACCTGGCTACTACAATTGATTGAACAACACATATATCAGCGTTTCTGCTTTGACTGCCGGCAGTGAGTGCTTTCCCCGTGAGATAATTCGTGAGGTCATTCGTGAGGAGATCCGCAATCTGCTCCTTTCTCCGCTAGGGCCTCCTGTGGCTTCCGTAGCAGACATTGTGCGGTAGCAAGTTCGCCAGGCATTGTCGCTGCCTGGATCACTATCAAACCAGCGGTCTGCAATCTACGCGTCGATCATTCGTCGCCCTATTTCAGTGGCGCAGAACTCATCACAGCGTGCGTATTACAGTGCCATCGTTGGGCCATACAACTGGCCATTGACCTCAGCGTACACTGAAACGCCGCAAACTCCACAGCCTGCTCTGCCTATGGAAACATCGTCACATCACCCTCCGCCAGCATGCACAACTTGGTCGGAAATGATGCCCACTAATCGACCAGTCGTTCATAGAACCGACTGGTGGCGCACTATTCACCGCCGTCCACTTTGCTTCAATTGCGGAGAACCAAGCCATGGTTACCGTTTTGGCCCATGCCGTGGCTATCTATCAGACCTTTCCACCAACCCACCCTCGTGCTCGTTTCGATTACCGACGTAACAGCAATGAATGGTCGCAAGAACAGCCCCTCGATATGACGTATCGTCAACCCCGCTCTCCGTCACCTGCACCGAACTCACCACTCCGCCGCAGTTTGGCCGATATTTCCTGGGGCAGATCTCCTAGCCCTCGCCAGGAAAAGTAACACGAGCGACGTTCGGGGGGACGGTTGCCGACCATCAAGATGCTACAACACCCCCACCGTCTTCAGTACAACGCAATACGACGGACATTACGACGGACAATAGGACAGACTATACGACAGACGATACCACGGACGATGCGACGTCACTGACTTCAAAGGAAATCGTGAGTGCAAACCAAGACGTTTGTATGTACGGGTATCCAGTAACAGCGCTCGTAAATAGTGCGGACAATTCTATTATTAGCAGAAAACTCGCTGACCGCCGACAGCGCCATTGTAAACATTCCTGACAAATCATTCACATTTTGGTTGGCACCAGGTCACATTTGGGATGTACCCTACACAGATCAGCAACGTAAACCTCTGTGTGTCTTCGAATATGACACGCTCCCATCACGCTCGAGTGCGCTTGTGGTCATGAATTGTGACGTGTCAGCCAACTCCAAGACAACGCTGAGCTAACTCCGACGTTGCTATCCAGCCATGGATTGTGCGTTGCAAGAGGTGTCATGAACATAAAAGGCGGATGCACACATGTCCTCGTTAGGAACTTCAGCGTAGAGCGCCGCGGTCTTAGGTGAGGTACAGCAGTGGCGTACGTGGAAGAATTCGCCGAAGTCGCGAACTGCCTGACTTTTGAGCAGGATGGTTCAACTGACCTGCCACCCGTATGTCTATCCATGGATGTTGGCCCAAGTTTTCTACCTGCGCAGAACAAAAACATCTTAGAACTTATTAACCAGCTTCAGAACTGTTTCTCTTCGACTTCCAACGTTCGTGAAACGCCGCTGACAAGATATCGAATTATAACGGAAGACATGACAGGACCTATAAAGGCGAACCCATACTGGGTAGCTCCGCGGGAAGGAGAAGCCATTGAAAACCTGGTATGCCAGATGCTTCAAGATGATGTTGTTCAGCCATTGAAGAGCCCTTGGGCTTCGCCGGCTGTATAAGTGAATAAAAAGACAGATCCTTACGCTTCTGCGTCGATTACTGTATGCTCAATTAGGTCATAAAGAAAGACATTTAGCCGCCACCACGTATATACGATTCACTCGATCGACTACGGTATGCACGTTATTTCTCGTCGATGAATTTAAGGAGCGGGTGTAGTCAAAAAGAAGTCGACGAAAGAGACCGCGAAAAAACCACATTCGTGACACCCGACGGTCTTTATGAATCTAAAGTGATTCTCTTCGGCTTTTGCTCCACACCGGCAAAATTTCAGAGGTTAACGGACACCGTACTATCAGGCCTCAAGTGACAGACGTGCTTAGTGTATTTGGATGACGTAGTCGTATTCTGTGCTACATTTGACGATCACATTAAGCGATCGCACGCATTGTTTCGAGCTGTACGTTCTGCAGGACTAACGCTTAAACTGGAAGAATGCCACTTTGTCTTCGAAGAGCTTTTGTTTCTTGGGAATCTTGTCAGCAGCGGAGGAGTGCGACATGACCCCGCAAAGATATAGCTGCTGTTGCAAACTTTCGAGTTCCGTCTTAAAAAAAGGGCAGTTCGACGATTTTTAAGGCTTTGTGCTTACTATCGACGCTCCATTGAGAACTTCTCGCGCATCACCTCGCCGTTGACACGCCTCACCAGGGAAGACGTCACATTTGGAATGACGAACCGCAAAAAGCCTTCAATGATCGAGCTGCGGGAGCGCCTCCAAAGGCCACCAGTACTCGGACACTTGGACGATGACGCCCCGACAATGGTTCATACCGACGCCAGCAATGTCGGCTTAGGAGCTGTACTCATGCAGTGGCAGAATGGCGCCGAACGAGTGATCCCTTACACTCTAAAAAAGGAGCGAGTAAAAAGGGTGTTCTTGGTCCCACAACAATAATCGTCCCCTCTATTGCATTCCATCCTTGCGCTATCGCCCCGCGCCCGCTACATTCCGGTCATGATCGACGTGCCCATTATCAGGGTTACATTGCATTCTCAATAGGAAAGTGGCCAGTGCCGAGTTTTCAGGAAAGGAAGCGCACGCAAGCCTGATGACGATTATTGTTGTGGGACAAAAAGACACCCTTTCTACTCGATATTGTTTTTAGAGTGTACGTGAGCGGAACCCTTTGCCGATCGGAAGAAAATTACTTCATCACAAAAAAATAGTGCCTCGTGGTATTGTGGGCTGTTATGAAATTTAGCACATATTTGTACGGCCGCCCTTTCGTTATTGTCAGCGACCATTACTCCCTTTGTTGGCTGACAAGTTTGAAAGACCCATCAGAATGGTTGGCGCACTGGAGCCTCAAGCTTTAAGAATTCGGCATGACTATTGTCTACAGGT